CAACCATGTCAATAAAATCGAACAAGAACTTTCTGCTGTAACTCTAGGCGTGGATTCTTATATAAGCATCAGTTAAAAATCTTATAGGAAACTTATAAGTAGCCAATAAGATTCACGTAAGAATCTTCAATTTAAACTCATTGCATAAATTGAAGTCAGGTAAGAGTGTAAGACGTTCATCAGTTTTAGTTCTTTGTGATTTAGACATATTAAATTAGTTATAACAGTAACTAAAGCAACACTTTATGTATATACGTACTTCTTTATTTAACTCTTTACATATACAAACACGTGTCCGATCTCGATAAAAAATAAAGTAGAAATAATTACGCAACTAAAAATAATCTATTAGCTTCGTTACAATCTGGTTTTCGCCATAGTGATTCTACAGTTAATCAGTTAATTGATTTCGTTCATGCTGTGCAGTTAGGAATCGAAAACCACAAACTAACTAGAACAGTTGTTTTGAATGAAGATTTAAAACGCGTTTATGAGTGGTCCTTGTATTGGCAAATAGATTCAAATGTTAAGAAATGTGAAGCGATGACTTTTAGTAAGCGAGTATTGGTTACGTCTCATTTACCGCTTATAATAAATGGACCTGCTCTCTTTGACGTTTTAAGTCATAAACACCTAGGTTTTTTTATAACGCCTCAATTAAATTGGAAAAAACACATTGATTACGTAATTGCAAGATGTAACAAAATTTTATATTTAATGTATCAGTATAAGAACAAATTTCAAACTACCGTTTTAGATCAAATTTATGTGTTATGCATATCCCATATTACTTTACACTTCAATTCTTTATTCATCTACTACTGCTAAAAGTCTTTCTTTAATATCCAGTATACAATACAAGTTTGCTTTAGTTGTAACTGGTTGAAAATTGGCCTTATGTTTAAGATAGTGAGAGGACTACCACCTAGTTTTTTAGCAAACCATATTTCTCATTTACATCATAATCATAATTATCAAACTAGAACACAAGTAGAAGTGAAAATTCAAGGTAATTGGAAAACTGATAGGCGTTTTATGAGCAAAACATTTGAAATGTCGTTTTTTCCTAATGCAATCAGAAAATGGAACGAATTAAACTATGAATTGCGTGCATGTAACACTTTAAGAGCCTTTAAAAGAAAGCTTAATACACAAATAGACATACTAAGGATCTTTCGAGTTTACGGTGTTAAACGTGAAATAGATAAACTATACTATCAAATGCGATGCAACTTCTCGTCATTAAATAACGGTCTCTACATCAAAGAATTAGCGCCTGACAAAAATTGTTTATGTGGCGAGAAAGAAATAGTAAAATATTATTTACTACACTGTTCTCTCTATGACGTACAGCGAGCTGCACTTTTTAAATCTATAAATGATTCGATATCAAATCCAGATTACTCATTAAAAACTCTATTATTGTTAACTAACGCAATTCTTAAAGATAATTACTGTGTTATCTATCGTTTAGTTGTTAAATACATTGATGCAACTTTAAGATTTGCTGTTGATAGATAAATGCTATGTCAATCTCTCTTACTCTCTCTCTCTCTCTCTCTCTCACTCACGCACACACACACTCACACACCTTTCTTTTTTCTTTTGATGATTAAGATTTTATTATTCCTATTTATATATTGCTATATCAAAGGCACATTTATTTATATTATTTATGTGCTAGTTTGTGGTAACCAAGGAGAAGGTACAATGACTTTGTCGATTCCATCTTCAAGATTACACGTCCTCGAATATATTTTTTTTACTTTTTTATTTTGTTTAAAATGAATAAAGATCGAATGCGATCATGGATAGCCACGGGAAAGAACTTAGTAAATGCACACGACATAAAGGAAGGAATGGAACATGCTGGCGGAATTAAGAATACTAAAGTGGCCGTGGCAGAAATTATACCCGGCGAGGGTATACACAGCGTTACTTAGATGAATGCGTACGGACCGGTTCTGGTTGATCCATAAAAACAAGAATATGATGTTCGGATTCGTTAACGGATTTTCTGCATTTTCGCAGAAAACCAGTTAGAATTGAGGGAGAGTCGACCACCAGATACGGTCATCGTATTTCTAGTCCCGAATCCGACCATTTACAGAGAGTCTCTACCGGGAACCGGGCACCTAAAGCATTGACCTGAGTAACTGAAACTATTCCTTTCTTACGTTCTTTATATTTCAAGGCTATGTGGACAACTAATGTGCCCAATATTTCTTCGATACGATCTATCAAATACGGACAATAAGCCATGTGGTTGTTCGGATGACAGCCGTTTTGCTGTAACCCATTTTCGACTATATCCAACTTTGAACTTTCTGTAGGATCAAAAACATTGAATATATTTTCCGATTCCTTTCTGCAAGCGTAATGCACATCTAGAACTTCAAGAGGAACCTTGCGCAATTGTTGTTATTTTTCTTCACTATGTTTCTCGGTCTAAAAGTTCAAAAAGTGTTGACTTGTTCAGTTTTTGAGCGTTTTCTTGTTCAAATTTTGGTTTGCGACATGGCAAAGTAATCATCTTTTCGTGATTTTATTTATTTAACCTTATGTGCTTATTGAGAAGTTGTATTTTAATCAAGAAGAAATGTTCTGATTGCAGTTTCAACAGATAATTAAAAGATATTTAAAACAAGCCAAAAAAATTTCTGTTGTTCGTTTCGTTATACACACTTTTGAACAAAACGTTTTTTTAAAGCTTCTAACCGTATTATGGAAAACGGGACTAGACTTGATGTTTCTGAAAAAATATTTCTCATTTTGAATTGTCAAAGTTTAGTGCTTAAACTTCCCTCTTAATTAATCTGACCGTATTTAATTATGATATCCGTGATAAAAAGTTTTTGTTGAATGGTCGAGATCTTGAGTTTAAGAAACGCAAAAAATTATGTCTCATAGCTCAAGAAATCTACTAATTTCTCGAATCGAAAACACTAAAAAACACAACTTTTCGGTTGAAGAAAGCTCGCTCTGAAGAGCTTCGTTTGAAGCACCGATTTTATCACGTTTTACCCGGTTTTCTCTTCAGGAACATGATGTAATCAATTTTACACCAAGAAGTTAAGCTCAAAGTGATTACACAGCAGTTTCATTTCTGCATATTCTCTAGATCGTGCCATATCTTGGCTATCACAAAAATTATTTTATTTTTTTCTGAAATTGTTGAACATTTGTATTATTTTTATCCAGAAAATGTCTGTCTGATTATTCTGGAAAAAGTATGAAAATTGAACGGAGTTTGGACTGAATGGAGGACGGAGTGCGAATTATTAAATTTTTACGCTGTTTAGAGAACGGGACTGAAAAGAGAACGATTTTCGAACTTTTTTTTGCAGAAGACTGAAAAGAGGACGATTTTAAAAGTTATTTTTTCACTCTATTTGTATAGTTCTGAAGTAGAATTTTTCGGACACATGCTTTTTCATATTTACACATCGATACGTAAACAGTAAAAGAACCATATTCTGAGGCTAGATTTTCGCAAAACGATGTAAAGAATTAGAAACATTAGTACTAAGATGGCCTCAAGATGTTGCAAAATATGCAACTCCAATTCCGTGGAATATTTTTCTACATAGTAGACCAAAAAATCCAGTCTTGCTCTACTTTTTTGAAATATATATACATATCGAGTCGAAACAGATTTGGCTGAAGCTTTTTTGCAGTCGAGTCGAAGAAAAATCTTTTTTGCAAATTACTTATAAGCATAAGGACACTAATCAAAAGAAATCTCTGCTCAGGTCTTTTCCGTTACCGAGACAAGAGACATTCTTTCTTAAAAACCGTCTCTTATTTATTGTTCAGAAGACAAGATTTTTTGGTGAAACTCGTTACTTAGGCAGCTGTAACTTTATACTAAAATTCTCTGATAGTCGTAATTTTATAAAAACGTCTTCCATGGATGGAGAGAGCGCGCAAATTTTGCAAATTTTGGACTTTTCCCATTTTTAACCATGTCGGACTTCTCGTTTTTTTCACGATTTCTGCCAATGAAAAGTTAGCTCTTTGAAGAAGATTAATATTCAAAAGTAAATGCTCACCAAACTCAGTTACAATCGGTTCATAGTTGAAAATTCTTTTCCAACAATATTTCTCCGATTCATAACTGAATGACTGGGAAGAAGACTAGGAAAGAAAAACTAGAAACAAGGAACAGATAAGAAAAAATACTACCAAAACGATATAAATAAATAATATTTACCTGTACATGCGTGTTTCTTTCTTACTGACCTGTTTTTAAATCAATGAAGCATAAAGAAGTCAGATAAAACAATGTGAAAAGCAGTCATAATTGCCTTTTTTTGAAGGTAATTATCTCTTCAGCATAAATAGTTTTTGTTTTTGAACAAATTTAATACATATTCTCTTCTACAATTAATGGCTACTAAATACTCTTATGATCATAAAACAAAAGCATCGAACGTTTCAAATCGGCGTCTGACAAATTTGGAAACATTTTCCCTCTTATGGCTTGATGCTAACACTAATTCAACTGCAGAAAATAGAGATACACAAAACCAGTTACGCCGCACAACTAATTTTCTCAAAACATTCCGCACATGTGATGAATGTGAAGAATATATTCGAGAAGTGACAGATGGGAAAATTGTTTTGATTGTAAGTGGTGGATTGGGAGAAGATTTAGTTTCGAGAATACATCATCTTCGACAAATATCTGCCATCTACGTTTACTATTTGGATAAGGAAGATAATGAGCAATGGGCAACAAAATTCATAAGGTAAGCGCTCCCGTTTGACTTTTGGTTTTCTACGTTATTCTTCCTTTAGGTAAAAGGTATATTTGTCGATGCAGCTAGTTTGATCAGACAAGTATCATCTGATCAACGTCTTCGAACTCGAACAGAAGAGTTGCTGGCCATATCGGTCTGCTCACCAATAGATCACAAAGGTCTCGATGGGGCATTCAACTTCTCATTGATGTTCTACTTCGTCTTCTACGATCTACTACTGATATGAGAGAATTGATTGAAATACATAAACTGACAAGCAATGGAAACAGTGGAATTGAATAATTTACAAAGAAATGAAGGACAGTTGATGTCAATGAATAATTTTCTCTCAACAACCTTCGATGAACAATTGGTTCGACTTTTTGCTGATTCAATTGTTCCCACAGATTCGATTCAACGAGTTTTATTCGAGATCAAAATTGATACTCGTCTCGATAATCGTCCGTTTGCTGATATTTCTCATTTGAGTAATGAACAGGAAGTGTTATTCACACTCGACTCTGTATTTCGACTAATGAATGTCTCGTATTATCAAAAAGAACAATTGTGATGGTGAAATGTGAACTATGTGGCACGAAGGTAATCAAAATTCAAAACAACTCTTTAAGTACATTCGAAAAGACATTAGTGGTAGTTCAAAAGAAGCTAATCTTTTGACAGCCGGTACTGTGTTACACAATATGGGTGATTATAATAGAGCCAAAAAATACTTCAACCGTGTATTGAATGAACTAAAACATGAGGATATAAACGCTGCCCATTGCCATTCTTATCTGGGAACAGCTTTAGCTAAACTAGCTGAGTATGATGAAGCACTTTATCATTTAAACGAAAGTGTTACATTGTACAAGAGATTTCAATATTCAGATGATATATGCGGAATTAGTCGATGCTATTATTGGATGGGAAAATCAGTTTTTAAGTGCAAAAAGGAATATAAAACTGCACTTGAATATTTAGAGAAAGCCTTGAAAATACAAGAATTTGAACTTCCTGCTGATCATGTTCGGATTGCAGGTACTCTACGCGAGATCGGCAATGCTCACTGTTATCAACTTAATTATGATTTGGCTACGTCCTATCTTGATCGAGCTCTCAAAATGTATGAGAAAACATTACCATCAAATCATTCATACATATCTAGTTGTTACGCTGATTGCGGAAGTATTCATTTTTTTAAAAAGAATATGATCTTGCTCTGAAGATCTATAATGAGACTCTTGAACTAAAGTTAATATCTCTCTCACCCACTCATCCGGATTTCGGAACAATTTATTTCAATGTTGGTCGCTTCTATGAACAAAAATGTGAATGGAAGATGGCACTTGACTATTTCGAGAGAAGCCTGGAAATAAGTGAAAAAGCATTAGGATCATCTCATCCGCATTACAAATTATCTCACGATGGAATCCAACGAGTAAAGTCATCTATACTCTAACACGCAATCTCTTCAGAACTTTCCGAAGTTTTCTGTAAGGTACTCTCTAAAACCTTGGCAGGGTGGCACCTGAAGGTGCTAAAAAGTGAAACTCCCAGTACTGAGACGTCTAGTCACGTTAAGAGGCTGTGTCCTCCAGGAGGGGGTCAAATTTATCCTAAAAATTAGCGGTTTTGGGGTATAAAACTGTTACTCCCTCTTCTTCGAAGATCGTGAGAGAGTTCCACAAAATAAAAAAGCTTGTCAGCGTTGCTTCTACGAAGCAAAAATGTGAAAAATTCCTATTAACCGTTGGATCATGACATAGAACAGGTAATAATATATCCTAGTCATTTTTAAAACTTGTATCTAACAATAGTAGATCGATAGTCCACTGTGTGTCTTTAGTAGCTGTAAACACCAAATTTATATTGAAATTTGGTCAATCACAATTTCATCTCCAAAGTTTACAGCTACTGACAAAAACCTCTCTACAACCACAAAAATCCTCGTATATAAAATTTTTACTTCAAACTTCCTTTTTCAAAGGAAAAGGAACAAGTTCTAGAAAGTTTTCACAACACCGTATTCTTCGAAATGACGAAAACGGTTTCCGAGCTCGGAGAAACGCTGTATCCGTTTTATATTTACTGACATTTGAGGAAACGGTTTTGCCGATTTATCCGAATAAGTCTTTTTTCAGAGTGTACTTGAGACGAAAGGCAATTGTATTGCTACCGTATAACAAACTTTGGGGTAAAGTTCCTATTTTGATACACCCGTGTCGTCATCGTTAGAGTTTTCAAAGTCAGAGAATATAGTCATCCTGGGTAAAAGGTCCTGATGAACGCTTTAAAAAAAGCTTGGTAAACATATTCATAGAAAACTTCATAAAATTAAGGAAGAAAGGTTCAAACTTTTTTTGTGCTGGCCAACTCAAATAACTTCAATATTTCATCGAGATTCTATGAACATATTGGAAATTTGTCAAGATTCTGACTAAGTAATTATTTTGTCCGAAAGATCAGTTACAAGTCTTCATGAAGCTTTTGAAAAGACAAATCCTAGGCTTTCATTCTGTTACTTATACTTTTCTATGAGACACAGACACTTTTTCAAAACTCTTAAAAGTTTATCTGGTTATTTCTATATTGAAAGTTTCTTCATCATATTGTAACATTCTTTTTTAGTTCCAATACAGTTTGTCGTTGTTGATATTAGCATATATACGTGTTTGATTGTATTGTCATGACGAACACTTTTTTGTGCCCAGAATTAGCAAATATTTGTGCTTCTTTATCATATTGTAATATTAATAAAAGAATGCAGAATAGAAAATCTATGAGATAAGAGCAAGAAGATAAAGAGAGAAAGTAAATACGAAATAAAAATCAAAAGGGCAAAGTCGTTCAACAAACTGATTTGAACAACAGACTTAATTAATCGTTCTTGAAACGTGCATGCATCTAATCATTGTTTTAGTTATTTAGATACACTTGACTAAAATGTCGTTTCACAACGCTTGCTCGTTTGGTTCAGATATGCATGACTTGTTTGTCACTAGGTTTTCCTGTTTTCATAGACTGAAAAAACAACAGTTATGCGCACGCTAATCAAAGTTCAAACTCGTTTTCTCAAGCAAACTTTTCGCTTGTAAATGTTCAGGAGATTTTGAACGGATCAAAGAACAGATGGGTGCAGAAATAATGGGTCACTTTTGTTCTCTTTCTTTCGGGCACTTGACTGAGATTCTACAATTTCATTCTAGGCTCATACGATAGAAAATTTTCTGCTCTGCAAAACCCACTACCGTTTTTCATTACATAAAAGTTCATTATTTAAAACAATAGTGCAGAGCACGGACATATATCTTCTATACAGTCGGCTTTCAAGCCGCTTGACAGCCATTATATAGTGCCCTCATCAAGATGTGAACTTGGCTCATTAGACTAAGCAACATAATAAGTACGGTAGATTAATCCCATAACTCTGGTCTCTTCTTCAGAATAGATCACATACGTTTGTTCTTTTCAACTATCGATTACGTGCAGTGGGCAGAATCGAGTCACAGTTGACTGATAGGACGAATCACATCGGAACGGGTCGTCCAAAAAATTGTCATTTCTAATCCAAACTCATCACTGTTTTGGTATAAGTTCAGCATCTACTAGAGCATAAAATTGAGTTTTGGACAAAATTTGTAATGCTTTTTGATGTAAGAAACGAGACCATTACAAGAACATTAGCTTAAAGATATCTTTTTCTTGTTGATAAAAGTACAAGATCATACAATTTTGGAGAGAAAGCTCAATTGTTATGACGATCATTTCCGCAATTGAATAGTGCGAAAGACATCATTTTTTCTAATTCTAATAATAAAAAGAAGTTTTTTCATTTAATGTGTCTTTTGTTTTTTAAGGAGAGAGAATAAGAAAAAGTAGCGTGTTTCGGATAACGAGTAAAAGGGTGAAAAAAACAATATGTCATAGTTAAAAATGCACTTACGATAGAATTACTCAAATTCCCAAACCTTCATGTTTCTAGCTCATTGACGACGATGAGCAAGGCTTGATTGTAACTAAAACTTGTCCAATCTATGATACGCGAGCCGAACTTTTCTAAGGCGAAATATCTTGGGTAGAAGTTGTCAGACTCGAATAAAAACCATGAGAAATTGCAGACATCAGTCCTGCTTCGTTTCTCAGATACTGGATTTTAACTGCCCAGGCGTCAAAAAAAACTCTAGTATCACCCAATTCATCTAGAATACTAGATTTTTACTCGATTGCAGCTATTCGGACCTAACTAATTATTTAATAATGTTGCTGTTAGCTATTTATCACAGATACTTTCTATAAAGAATTTGTCTTCATTTACTTAATTCAAATGAAAAAATAAAATTTTTCCGAACATTTTGTGACCAATCACAGATGGTAAAGTCATTTATGTACTGAGTTTTGTCTGTATACCGTATGGTTCCAAAACTTCGTTCTGGCTTTAAGAGATAAAGAATTTTCTGCTCTATAAAGTCCTCTGTATCATACACTTACACTGCGTCGTTTGACTAGTTTTTTCCTCCTGTTTTTCACAATCGTATGTTGCCCGAAAGCCCTAATCAACCTGTGTACTAAAATTTAGGTGACTAAACGATAAAACAGCGTTATCTGGACGATAGCCCTCAATTCGGTGAACATTTCTATAGTAACCTCTTCTCTCAGTTATCAAGGTGTTTCCCGAAAAATTACACAAAAGCCGAAAAGCTATCAAAATTTTGGTAGTAAATCAAAGTTGTACTTTTTATCTGTCCGTGCTCTGCACTATTGTTAATGATGAATAATTTAATTTAATTTTCATTTATAATAATAATGAACTTTTATGTAATGTAAAACGGTAATGGGTTTGCAGAGCAGAAAATTTTCTATCATATGAGCCTAGAATGAAATTGTAGAATCTCAGTCAAGTGCCCGAAAGAAAGAGAACAAAAGTGACCCATTATTTCTGCACCCATCTGTTCTTTGATCCGTTCAAAATCTCCTGAACGTTTACAAGCGAAAAGTTTGCTTGAGAAAACGAGTTTGAACTTTGATTAGCGTGCGCATAACTGTTGTTTTTTCAGTCTATGAAAACAGGAAAACCTAGTGACAAACAAATCATGCATATCTGAACCAAACGAGCAAGCGTTGTGAAACGACATTTTAGTCAAGTGTACCTAAATAACTAAAACAATGATTAGATGCATGCACGTTTCAAGAACGATTAATTAAGTCTGTTGTTCAAATCAGTTTGTTGAACGACTTTGCCCTTTTGATTTTTATTTCGTGTTATCGATGACACATAGATCAAGCAGATAAAGAAGAAAAGGATACATCATGTAAATACATCAAGTAGATCCATGATGTACATACAGCATGTAGATATATTTTCACTTCTATTTGGAATGATGATTCATTGAAGACATGAAAGAAGAGAGGTATAAAGAAAAAAAAGTTTTCATTTTCTCGCATGGGCAGATATATCTTGCATGCAGAGTTCTGTATGTGTTACATGATGAATCCTTATACACTGGAGCTCTAATATGATAAAGAAGCACAAATAATCAAAAACAAAGAATTTAGTCTTCGTCGCTACTATCTCTGGTTCACTCATATAGCAGTATTATACTTTATATTTAACACTTTATCTCTGACATCTTTTACAATGTCTCTATATTAAGACTGTTATCTGTGTAGAGCAAAGTCACATTTTCCTTATATACAGGGTTGCGAGAAATGTTTTGCCCTGGGGGTATAGCTCCAATGCGAAATGATATCAAAACGAATTATATACCAAATGAAAGCTCATCGAAAATGGGATTGAAGAGTATAATTGATATTCCGTACGATGATTATTGACTGTAGAATTATGAAAGTTTCTATCGAGTGCATCATAATGAATGAGCCTTTTAGTGTCTTCTATTTTTCTCGTGTTCCTCTACGATCCTAAGATTAGTGTTATTATTAAAAGATGCGCCACGAAATATTCCACAAAACCATACATAAACTTTAGTTTTAGAACTTTAATCAAGAGAACTACGTAAATCATACCAAAGGCGGAAAAACCGAAAACTTCGTATATTTGGTATTTTTGTCGATTTGAACTTTTTTCTTCTCTTATCATTGCCGTAAAAAGTGTAGAAAAAGTGAGCACTAGGCCCTTTTTGTAGTTTTGAATATGCGCTTTCTCGTGGTCTATAAAAAGAAGTTTTAAAGCAGATGGTATGCTGGAGACCGAAATTTCAAAAATTTC